GCTTCCGATAAGGCTGTTGGAGGTGTGCTGGTTCAAGAAGATCATCCTTTGGCCTTTGAAAGCAGAAAATTGAATGAAGCGGAGCAGAGGTATTCGGCTCATGAGAAAGAGATGGTTGTTGTTATTCATTGCTTGCAAATCTGGCGTGTTTACTTGTTGGGAACAAAATTCGTCGTGAGGACGGACAATGTGGCTAATACGTTTTTCAAGACACAAAAAAAATTGAGTCCAAAGCAAGCACGTTGGCAGGAATTTTTAGCAGAATATGATTTTGTGTGGGAGCACAAGCCGGGAAGACACAACCAGGTTGCGGATGCATTGAGTCGGAAAGAAGTCTTTGCTGCTGTTTATTCCATTACACGATTTGAGTCAGATTTTCTTGACAAGATCAAGTCAGCTGCTGTGAATGATCCATTGTACATAAAAAAAATGAATCATGTGAGAGAAGGTACTGTGAGGAGGTACTGGATCGAGGATGATCTTCTCCATTTCAAAGGGGGAGAATTGTGGTACCACTTGGTGATGGGATGCGTCGTGAATTACTGAAAGAGACGCATGATACACTTTGGGCTGGTCATCCAGGTATTGAAAGGATGATGGCGCTGTTGTCCCAATATTATTTCTGGCCAAAGATGGAGCAAGATGTGGAAGCTTATGTGAAAAGCTGTCTTGTGTTTCAGCTTGATAAAATCGAACGGAAAGAGGCCGGTTTGCTGCAACCCCTGCCTATTCCTGAAGAAACATGGCAATTTGTTTCGATGGATTTTATCAGCGGGTTCCCTAAGGTCAATGGGTTATCTTTGATTATGGTGGTGGTCGACAAGTTTTCAAAGTATGCTGTTTTTATTGCTGCCCCAACTGAATGTCCCTCTAAGGTTGCTGCTGAGTTATTCTTCAAAAATATGGTGAAGTATTTCGGAATGCGAGAGGATGTTATTAGCGATAGGGATGCACGGTTTACAGGCCGATTCTGGACTTATTTGTTCAATTTGATGGGTACAAACTTGAAGTTCTCGACCGCAAATCATCCCCAAACTGATGGCCAAACCGAAAGAATCAATCATTTGCTAGAAGAATACTTGAGGCATTTTGTGACTGTTAGTCAACGGAATTGGAATGATTTTCTAAACTGTGCACAATTCTCTTACAATTTGCACAAGTCTTCAGCAACGGAGAAGAGTCCATTCGAGATTGTTTTAGGAAAGCAGCCTAGGCTACCAATGAAGATGGTACAACAGAAAACTGGTGGGAAATGTCCATTTGCATACCGCTATGGTTTTGACAGACAAACTATGATGGAGGAAGCAACTGATAGTTTGAAAGTGGCACAGAAACGCATAAAAAAGTATGCTGATCGGAACAAGCGTCCGTTGGAGTTCAAAGTAGGCGACAAAGTGTTGTTGAAGCTTACTCCTCAAATCTGGAAGAAGATTGATAGCAGGGTAAGGCATAGAGCATTGGTTTCAAGATATGATGGTCCCTTTGAAGTTATTGAAAAGGTGGGTAAAGTTGCTTACCGTTTGAAGCTGCCGGAAAGAATGAAGATACACCCAACTTTTCATGTGAGTTTTTTGAGGCCTTATGTGGATGATCCTGAAGATCCGGACACGCATAAGATCAAGAGAGCTCCTCCTGAAGTGCGCACTCAGATTGAAGACGAGATTGAAAAGATTCTGGACCACCGGGTACTCGGGATGCACAAAAAGAATAGGTGGACAGAATTTTTAATTCAATGGACAAGCCCGAGGCAGATGCAACTTGGGAGAAGGGAAATTCATTATGGCAATTTGAACAACAAATAGAGGACTACTTGAAATCAGCCTCGACGAGGGCGTCGAGTTCAACCAGTGGGGGGGGGGGTTGTTAGCGCCTAATATTGAGACTTGACGGATGTCAGGCAGAATCTATGTCAAGGGTTTGTACATTGCCCCTTGGCATGGGTTTGTGCGGGTGTTGGCAAGCAATGTGTGGAGCTGGGTGTGTGTCTAAGTTAGTGTATGGACTTAGAAAAGTCAGCTAGTCAAGGTGCCTTGAGTGTTGGCAAGGCAGCCTTGGTTCGTGGGCATCGGCTATGGCAATGAAGGCGCATGGCACTTGGATAAGGCATGCGTGCGGATCAGTGGGACGACTAAGTTTGTGGCAAGACGTGGTCATGAGCTTATGGGCGAGGCATGGTCCAAAAACAAGGCAAGGCAGGAAGACAAAGTATGGGCAAAAGCTGGAAGACAAGTGTGCAAGTCATGTGACTGAAGAGGTGTGCTATGCATGTGCTGTAGAAGTGCATGTGCAAAGCACATGTGCAGTTGGCTAAAATGCTGAAGACAAGTCCAAACTCGTGGGAAGGGTTTGAATTCAAATTCAAACAGATTGGTTATGCTTGTTTCTAGTTTGTCATGTGCAAGGCACATTGTGTAAACTGTCCCAATAACTGTCCCCTTGTAAACTGCCATATGCAGTCCCCTTTAAGTTCTGTAATTTAGTTTGCTAAGGCAGTGTGTGACGTTTTTGTAAGCCTTTCCAACTGAATCCTTTATATTCTGCGAGAATAGTAAAGGTTGGGTGATTTTACCCGTATATGTGTGTGTTGCCTACGTTTTACAAAGTCTGAAATTGTCTAAGTCCTAAACAGTGTGCGGAAAAAGTGAGGCTGTGTAGCTGTGTGTTTAGCTACTGCGGTGCAGTGTCAATCGTGCTAAAACTGACCCTGTAACAGTTGCCATATGTACTATAAGAATTTTAATAGTGTTGTTTTATTTAACCTACTCAAAGACTAACTAGAGTATACGATGTGGGTCAATTAGATACTATCCCTGTCATCATGAGTTCATGACCATTGTTTGGCTCCCAACTTTTTCCTTTTATTCTATTACGGGAACCCTTCAAAGACTCGCTATCACTTAAAAAAAGCTTGCAGTTCAAAAAAGTAATATAAGAAGGGATTATACACCAGTGCTTGCAACCTAATCTTAGGTGTCGAATATTAACTTGTATCATCAGTTTGTCAACAAAGAATGCCAATTTATTGTGTTTTCAATTGCTTTCACTCACTGTGTATACTCAAAGAGGTCGCAACAAACCATACTTACCAAATACTCATTGCTGATCAAATTTATTAGTTGCAGAATTTTTATTTGCCACCTGAACTTGTGAATTTATGTGATTTGTAGAAAGAAATTACTGACAGTTATATATAAGTTCAGGAAAGAAAGGGAGGTATTAAGTGTGTCATTTTAGGTTTAGCAACCTTGCTAGAGTATGATAGTAGCTTCTTAATAAAGGAATACGTACAATAATATTTCTTGTGGAATGAAAGGAAGAAGCTGAGGGTTAGACAATAGTAACGATGATAGGGATTGTATCTAATTGACCCACATCTTATACTCTAGTTAGTCTTTGAGTAGGTTAAATAAATCAACACTATTAAAATTCTTATAATACATGTGACAACCATCTAAATCCCTATTGAGAAAAACTGGACAAGGTTTTACTGGAGGGGATCTCAACCCACAAATATGTGAGATAAAAAAAGGCCTCACACAATTAGTACCAGTTGTGTGAGGCACAAAATAAAATCACTCTGTCTCAATCTCAAAATAGTTGAGGTCAACTGTACAATTCGTGTGTAGAACGAGTTATACTAAAGAAATTACTCAAATGCATAGAATTTAAGACTCAGAACATCTGTAAAATTAAACTTAAATCCATTTGATTAGTACCAATCTCTTTGGTTTGTTATCTTATGATATTATTGTATATCGTGTGTATCACTATATATCACGCACATACTTTCAGACAGTATACATATCACAACATATAGCGTGTATATCATATATTCGACAATGTATTTTATGATATATATGATATATACATAGGTATGCACGACGACATGCAGTGATATAAACCACCTTAAACATCCATTTTCACATATAATATGGCACATCACCATTACAAAAATATCGTAGCTACCAAATCATTAAAACCTAACAACACATAATATCATTTTAATTCGAATAAAGAAAAGAAGAGGAGAGAAATTTAAATCTGTCGTCGCTTTATATTCAAGTTAACGGCAAATTAAATTCTTAGCACTCTTGGTGAAGTTAATGGTTAGCGAATTCATCCAAGCCTTCTATTCATATATTCCATCCAATGGAATAGTGTGCCAGATTCATAGTGCATACTACTATCCCTTGATTTAAGATTTAGAGTAAAAGTTCCGGAGATGCCAACTTATATAAGAACTCGGATGAAGAATTAACATGATAAAAATAAATTGGAATAAATAAATCGGAGTATGGTCAAAATATTATAAAAAACCGAAACGATCGGAATCTTTCGACTACATTTCACTCGGAATTTTTCAGTCGGAAAACTGTCAAATTCTAGTAGTGATATACATTATGGTTATTTGAAAACAACTTTCTGCTTGTAGTGAGTGTAATGATAGATCCACTTTTTTTTCTTTTTGCAAGTGAAGCTTGTTCTATATTACGTATACAATAGCAAACGATAGCAATTTTTCAGGGAAAGGTCTCAGATGGATTCATATGATGGAAAGTACCATATATTTTAAGGAAGGTCTTAGGTGAGAGAGGAGAGATAGAAAAAAAGAGATTAGGAGAGAAAGGGGGATTGGCGTTTTAGCGTGAGAGGTAGACAGAGAGAAATGGAAAGAGAAAGAATATACGGAAAACTAGGCTTGAAACTTTGAATTTTGAGGGTGAAACCATTTTTTTTTTTTTTTTAACCGCAAATTTTGCATATGCCAGTTAAATATTTCAAAATTTTGATTATGACACATAAATTAAAAAAAGATGGAGTATTATAGTTTTGCAGATAATTGAATATGCTAGGGTGAGAATTACGAAAATTAAGAAAATATGGTGCAAATAAGAAGTTGTGCATAAATTAGAGTGAGCCAGAAACTGCAATTATTTATAAGTTATGGGGCTAAAGTTAACTTTAGCTATACTTTAAGTTTCTTATTAAATTACACGAAGGCTGTAATTCCCCAATTTGGTGTGTAGGGTTTCGTTCGAGAGAAGCATGCTGTCGCAGCCACCGCCACCATCACCATCACCACCAGGATCAAGCTTATCAATCGCATCGGATTCGCTGCCGGAGAAGACACAAAAGTTCAACGAGGGAGATGGAGATGGAGATGGAGATAAAGGAATCTTGTCAATCGCATCGGATTTGCCGCCGGAGAAGAAACAAAAGCTGAACGAGGGAGATGGAGATGGAGATAAAGGTCAAAGCGGAGACTTGTCAGCCGAATCGGATTCGGATTGCGAAATTCAGGAGGCTGCTCCCGTCATGAAGTATTATTTAGAAGGAGTTTGCCCTTGCTGCGATCAGAAGGTGACTATTTGGCAGAGGTACCGCCAACTAATCAAAGAGAGTGAGGTATATTCAATTAGTAGTATTTGTATCATTACTAAATTTTCGCCACACAAATATTATCTCTTCTGCTTAATCCCATTATGTGTATATATATACATATGTCTCTACCTTCTTTTGTTTCTTGCTTTATTATTTAGCTCTTACATGTCTTTCTTACTACTATAAGTTAACTATGCGTCTGGTGCATGCAGTAGGTGATTTTTGTGTCTGATTGGTTGAGTTGTACTTTGCTAGGGCTTTGACATTAAAGATGAAGATCTAGTGGATGCTCGATGGTGACCATCTGGCCCATGACAGGGTACTTAAATAATCCTGAGAATGTTAAAGGAGTTGGAAGATTATGCTCAAAAGGCACTTGATACATACAATGCTCGAGAGGTATGCTCTTTTCACAGTTTCTATTGTCTTTCCAGTTGTTCTTTTCCTTTTGTTTTCTCTAGAAAGCTAAAAGCGTTCCCTTGTACTAATATTATTAGGGCACTAAATATGTGGTCGAGAAAATTCTAAAGGTGAATGGAAGTGGCTGTCGTGACTTCCATTTCTATATTACTCTTACTGTCAAGACATCTGATGGCGAAAAGCTGTATTTTCAAGCTAAGGTGGTGCGAAGTTTGGAAGGTTCTTTGGATTTCCCAGTCGTCAGGCCTAGGGTAATGAGAACTGCTATTCATTCCTTAATTCTGTTTATATTTTGGCATGCTGAAATTTCTAGCTTTAGTGTTCAAGTTTCATGACTTTAACGATCTCATAGAAGACTACATTGAGTTTTAAGTCATTAGGCTGCTGCAAGGTTTAGATTAGTCGCGACAAATTAGCATTCATTAAGAACCAACTAGCTGTTGATGGTAGATATAAGTTCTTCTAGACAAAATGTTACTTGTATCTAACTTTATGCAATACTATTTGACACCACATGCAGATCAAGATATTAATTTTGTTTAAGATTGTATAAGTAGTAGAAGAAGAAATCTCAAAAATAGAGGGTTGAAAAGCTTTTTGATAAAAGAAAACCACATGAAAGTTCAAGTTTGATTAATTACTGAACTTCAAAATCTGTTTGTATGAGATAATATTATTAGTTGAATACTAGAGTGATCAAATATTTGAGTTGTAAGTTAAGTGTGATTATTTGAGATGAAGGAAGCATGGGAGGACCTGAAACATATATCTAAACTATATGTGATATCCAAGTTGCTGTACTTGTCAAATAAATCTCTGAAGAGAAACTTGTCCTAATACTTATGGACTCTGAAATTAGGAAAACTAGCCACGGGATCAAGAGCAATTGGGGCTCTGTTTTTTGGGAATTCTTTCAGGATTGTGAACTTGGAGAGAGTGAAAACTTTGTGCATTAGACCTTAGCCAAGACACTGGCTCGTTTGAGGGCTTTCCTACCCCCCCCCCCCTCCTCTCTCTCAAACTCACGCATGGATTCTCTCTGCATGTTGCTGCTGCAGCACTCAACCTAAATTTCCTAGTCTTTTGTCTTAATCCCTTCATGAAAAACATGTCATCCCTAATTTGTGCTTCACCAAGTTTAGTTTGTCCCCTCTCCCGTGGCCTCAAGGTTTGGTTTCGTTCCAATTCATCTTATTCTGATCTATATTTCTCTATTCTCACTTTCATTTGGGCTCATCTGCATCACACCCAGCCGTGACACATTCCTCCCGTGCTCTCCAATGCTAAGAGATTAGGTGTCCTGTAATTTATCAGTTCTTTGTCAACTCTATGTTATTTTTATATGTGGGGTTTGGGCAGTGTTATAAATAGCGCTCGCCTCAGCGCTAATAGCGTGAGGCGCGGCGATGCGAGGGTGTGTCGCTTCAGAGCATCTATTGCGTTGCCATTCCAAAGAGCGCTCGCTTCAGGGTGTGTTGCGTGAGGCGACAGTGTGGCGAGTAGCGACTGTAGCGTCGCTATTTTTTAAAAAAAAAGAGAAAGGGAGAAGATATAAGTCGGGAATTAGGGCTTCGATCTTTTCACCTGCGAACAAAAAAACTTCAGCGATTAGGGCTTTTCACCTGCGAACAAACCAACGGTCTTCTTCAGTCTTCTTCTTCATCATCTAGCTTCATCTTCTTCAAACTTCAACAGCAAAAAAACAGAGGTATTCTTCTTCTTTCTTCTTCTCTTCTTCTTTTTATTTTTTTTCTTCTGTTTTTTGTCGATAGAAACAGCGCCAAATAGGGTTTGTATTTGTGCTGTTTTTGTCGAGCAAAAACTGAGGGTTTTCTTCTTCTCTTATTTTTTTTGCTCTGTTTTGTCTTCTTCTTTATTTGCTGTTTTTCTAGAGGCAAAAATTTCATTTTTGTTCTTCTTTCGTTGCTGTTTCCAAAGGCAGAATCAATTTTTTGTTTTTTCTTTTTGCTATTTTTTTCCAGCAAAGGTATGCTCTGTTTTTTTTGTCTTTTTTTCTTTGCTGTTTTTTCCAGAGGCAGTGTTACTGTTTCCAAAGGCAGAATCATTTTTTTTTGCTCTAGTTTTTTGTCTTCTTTATATAGTAGAATTAATTGCATATTGACTTGATAATTTTTTTCTATAAAACAACGTTGAAATGGCGTCATCCGATAATACTAAACGAAATGATATAGCTTGGAATTATGTTATACAAGGCTCGTCAAGATTCACAATTAAATGTGTGTTTTGTGAAAAAAACATATAATGGTGGGATAACTCGTGACAAGCAACATTTGATAGGTGGATTTAAAAATGTAATACAATGTCCCCTTTGTCCGCCCGATGTTAGGGAGGAAGTAAAAGCGTTTGTTGAAAAGAAAAATATGGCAAGAACTCAAATGAATTATGAAGCATCAGTGAATCTAATTGATGAAGATGATGAAATGGATGAAGAAGGTGAAATGGGACCTCCCCCCTCCTAAAACTCATAAGATAAATCCAAATACGTCTAGTGGGTCATCCACGGCACGTACGGTGACAAAAGGTCCTCTCAATCTTTATTTCTCGGCAAAACAAGAAAGGGGAAAAGGTAAAGAAGGTTCAGGTTTAAAAGCCAAGAAGATTTTGAGGGATCACGCCGTCAGTGCCTTTGCATCATGGATGTGCGATGCAGGGCTTCCTTTCAACTGTGTCAACTACAAAACTTTTGACAAATTCATTGAGGCCGTAGGACAATATGGCCCAGGAATGAAGCCTCCTAGCTATCATGAAGTTAGAGTAACTCATCTTAAAAAGGAGGTGAAGAAGATAGACCAAATTATTGAGGAGCATAAAGTGGAATGGAACAAGTTTGGATGTTACATTGTGATGGATAAATGGACAGCACAGAATGGAAAAATGATCATAAATGTGTTGGTGAACTCTCCAAGAGGGAGTGTTTTTCTTGAATCTTACGATGCTAGCAACTCTTCTACGGATGGAAGCAAAATGTGCAGCTTGTTTAGAAATACTATTGATAAAATTGGAAAGGAAAATGTTGTACAAATTGATACAGATAATGCTAGCGAGAATGTTAGTGCGGGGAAGATGATGGAAGCTATGTATCCAAACATTTATTGGACTCCATGTGCTGCCCATTGTATCAACTTGATGTTTGGTGACATATTAAAGGAACACCCATATGCTTCAGGTAACTTTAATATAGTTATCTTTAAAGCCTTTAACTTTATTTATACTTATGTCCTATCTTATTAAGTATTAACTATAAAATTGTTATTGTTACTTTTGCAGTATTCACTAAGGCCGTCAAGGCATATGCTTACATCAGTCAAAGGCCTTTGTTGTTGAATTGATGAGGAAATTCACAAATGAAAGAAATTTGGTGAGACCGGCCAAGACTAGATTTGTAAAGACTTTCTTAACTTTGCATAGTTTTTACTTGCAAAAGAAAAATTTGAGAAGACTAGTTCATTCGACTGAATGGAAAGATAATAAATATGCAAAGGAAGCTGCGGGGAAAGAAACTGCCAAAGTTCTTATTTCTCCATCATTTTGGAATGACGTCGTTCGGGCTCTAAAAGTTGGTGGTCCTTTGATTAGGGTGCTTCGTATGGTGGATGGGGAGAAAAAATCACCAATGGGCTATCTTTATGAAGCTATGGATAGAGCCAAAGAGAGTATTGCAGCGTCATTTGATGGAGATGTTAGGAAATATGAGAAAGTTTTTGAGATAATTGATACCAGGTGGAACAATCAACTCCATCGACCTTTGCATGCAGCATGCCATCTTTTGAACCGGAGATTATTTTACAAGAACACTAGAGATGAAACTTTGGATTCAGAGGTGTGGATTGGATACCATGCATGTCTTGAGAAGTTGATCCCTAATTCAGCGACGATAGATCAATAGGGGAGGAGTTTGGTAAGTACTTACAAGCAGAGGCTCTATTTGGTTTACCGGCTGCCATTAGAGCCAGAGACATAAGGTCGCCAGGTAACTAACTTTAATATAGATATCCTTATAGCTTTAATTTAATTTATTTGATTTATACTTGTTAACTTTCAAAATATTTTTCTATAGTTGAATGGTGGAAGCAATTTGGACATCAAACTCCAAACTTGCAAAAGTTTGCCATCAAAGTATTAAGCCTAACTTGTAGTGCATCTGGATGCGAGAGAAATTGGAGCATATTTGAGCATGTAAGAATTGATTTATTATATTAATATATTCTATATTGTATTATTATTAGTATCTATTAATTAATCTAAATAACTTATGCGCAGATTCACTCCAAGAAAAGGAATAGGCTTGAGCTATCGCGTCTCAATGATGTAGTGCATATTAAATATAATAGAACATTGAGGCAACGTTATGAAGCTCGCGATACCATTGATCCAATTTTGTTGGACAACATTGACGAGGCAAATGAATGGTTAACTGGAGCCCCCCAAAATCATGAAGATGAACAAGTGTATGAAGGAGATGATCTTGATTGGGGTACTGTTTCTATGGCCGTTGGAGTTGAGGAGAATATCTATGGACTTAGAGGGAGTTCTTCAAGTTACAAGGGAAAGGGAGTAGCAAGTTCAAGCCGGTCCCTAATTGATGAAGTGTTCGAGGATGAAGAGGATGATAGCCAATATAATGCTAACATTCATGAAGTTGTAGAATTTGAAAATCTTGAAGAAGAATAGATGTTGCTTGTTTTAGAGTTTAGACTATTAGTCTTTAATTTATGAATCTACTATGAGTCTATGACTATCTATTAAGTCTTTAATTTTTGGATGATATATTTATTAATATATTATTGTTATTCAGTTTTTAGGTATATGTATATAATATTTTATGTTTTTGTATAAACTGTCGCTTCACATAAAAAGGCGAGTGCTTCGCTGCGCGCCTCTCGCCTCAGTGAAGCGGGCCCTCGTCGCTATTTGTCGCCGCAAGCTATCCTAAACACTGGGTTTGGGTGGTCAATGAGCAAGAGTAAAGAAAGAAGACGAGAAACTTGGGGATCCAAATTTGTGGCACTTGAGTTCATAACCATTTGTTGTGGGCAGCGTTACCTTGTAATTGGGCTGGTGGGAGGCACTAGCTACTCGTGAAACAGTCAAGGTGTGGCGTGGCGCAAGTTGGCCCGTACACGAGAAATTTGAAATTGTCGTAGTTTCACTGATGCATCTGTTGTGTGCTCACCAATTATTTTTCTAGTATGCTTTCTACTTTTGAAATCTCCGCGAACATAATTTTTGGTAACAAACTTTCTGTTATAAATAGAATTCTATTTAAAGTGAATGCCTATATTTTAGAGAGATTTTAGAGTTTGTTACTTGGTGGCTAAGTTACTTTTTCCCTAAAAATAGAGGGATTTTATTCCATTGTAGTTGATCACAAATCAATAAGAATTCTCTCTACTTTTCTCTGTAATACTCTTCTTCTTTTATTATTTTATAACATGTTATCAGCACGAGACTCTGACCAATTGAGTACAAGCTTTGGGATTGAGCATAATAATTGTCAATTGTTCCATGAACCCTTCATGATTAAATTCTAGATTTAAGGTATGTATTTTACCGTATTTTTCTCTTTTATTCTATAATTTGATTTTAAATACAAGCAAAGAAAATAAATTTTGATTATAACTCTAATGGAGTTAGTAAGAAATTATGACCACTCGAAGTGGTAAAATTTCTATGTCTTGCAATGATCAAAGTCATACATGATCGTGAGCACAGGAAGTGAAAACCCGTCCCGTTGAATTTGCTTCATTCTCATTCTCTTAAGAGAATGTGATAACAATATGTGATAAGTCTGAAAGAATGACAAAATTATTACTATGAAGCTATCAATGGATGTGGACGTGGCAGTACACAAAATTATAATCGTTTATCATTGTGATAATGAGAATAATAAGGATTCTCAAAATAATCCTTCACTCTGTGAAAGTAATATTTGTCATCGATTTGACATGAGATTTTATAAAGCACATATAGATGATTATGGTCCATTCATGATGTGAATGTGACAACATCTGATTTATAAATGCATATTAATTCTTGGAAGAATATGAATGTGCTAGTGGTAGTGAATATACCACACCCACCTCTAGAAGGAGGTTTGAGATGATATAAGAAAATAATGTCATTATTATGGCATGAATGGTCATTGGTCACGTACCTATTGCACGCCAAAATATTTTGGTAATGTGATTATTAAAGAATAACATTAATGCAAGAAACATATTTTGCATATAATTTTGACCATAACCATAATGGTATAACTTTCTCTTTAAAAGAAATATTCACCATATGGATGTTGATGAATATGTGGTAGTACCAAATTAATGAGAGCTCTGGAAGAACCAAGTATTACTATTTTGGAGGAATAAAATTAATTATCAATAAGACATTGTGTTGTAGTAAGTCTCAAAGAAACTTAAATGAGTTTCTAAAGTATTCACGAAAGCGGTTGGTCATACTGAGACTATAAATTAAGGAAAGATTTAATATCTTCTATTACTACAACTTGTAACGGGGTAATAAGTATGTGAAAAGCTACCCGCTTTATTCTCTAGTTTGTACTACACAAATAAAAGAATGCCACAATAAGTAGATGTTTATTGATATAAAAACCCATATCATAATAAACTTGGAGTTTATTGATAATTCCACACGTCATGGTGTACATATGAAGTCTATCAATATTGATAATTTATTCAGTTGGCATAATTGGTTTAGCCATATCAATTTAAGTATTAAATACAAAAATAATAGAGAATTCAAATGGGTAAATATTAAAGAACTAGAAAGTTCTTTATGAATTCTCTTATATTTCTTGTTCTCATTAATTAATAGACCAACTAAAATTGGGATGAATCCCATGAATGGGCCCATTCACCTGCCATGTATACCACATAAGATGCATCTATGAGATGGTTACATGTGCTATTATTATTAACCCGCAACATGGTGTTTTGCGAGGTAACTTGCTCAATAATTTAATTTCGAGCATAATTTCCAGGTTTACTATTCAAGAAGTTCATCTTGATAAGATGGTTGACATCACAATTGGTTTAGCAAAATAATTTATTGAGTGCCTCCACTTAATAGCTAAACTATTGCTTATGAAAACAAAGTTATCTATATCAGTTTGATATAGGTTATATACGAAAGTATATTACATTCTCCCCTCACAAGTGATTCAGGATCAGGAACCAAATAATTTCATCTTATTATTATTGATGTGCGGTGTATATTTTGATTAACACCATAACATAGAAAGGTGAGTTTTCAAAATTGAGGAAGAAAGTTTTTCTAACACGAGGGGGAGACATAATAAACAGTTGAAAAAAAGTTATATGGAATGAATTATCATTTGTACATCTAGATCCTCGAATAAGATAATATGAACTTGTGGTTCATAAAAAAGATAATTCATTTGCAATATATTGCAAAGCATGCTAGACGCATTTGCTGGCCTAAAGAAAGTAACTATATTCTCACTGCAAATGCTCCTATTAGAATAAGTCCTACAAGGACAAAGTCTATGGTACGCTTAAAGCGTATAGACAAATCGGTTTCAAATAAACTTCATGATAAAGAAGATGGGCAAATGATCAAAATGCTCATAATAAAGGAGGCAAGTGATCTAGAGGATCACATGACATAATACTTCTTAAAATCTTATGAGAGATTCAAGTACCTGAATATATGATGAATGAATGGATCTCTATGTTATGTCTTTATGAAAAAAATATTAAAACTGATATAAAATGTTCGTCGACGAAATCTATGATAGCGCTAAGTATAGATGAGGACCTCAAGTCTGTCGAATACAAACACAAAAATATTGGCCAAATGGAAGAGACACAATCAAATAGAATTGGTTTCATATGAAATGTATGTAGTTTTGAACATGTAGTTCAAATACTTGAAAGTATAAAGTCAATGATATGTGCAATCAGTTTTCGATATCCTGTTTGTCTAGCATGACATGAAAACTTGATATGCATCTAATTAAAGTCTATTATATAACTTATATGACTTAACTTATATGACAATCCTTGAAGGATTTAAATTGCTTAAAGCATATAAAATTCTTGGTCATGAAGTACTACATCCTAAGTACAATTTGTGCACATTTGTATCTTGCTATAATTATAAGCATGATAATGTGATAGCGAGAATTTTCAAGGTGCAACATATTCATTGGAGTTAATATGGGTGATTCATTCACCAAATCTCTGCCAACGTCAACCTTTAAGAAGCTAGTGTACAAGATTGGGATGCGAAGGCTCAAGGACGTGAATTTATGCTCTCATCGGGGGGAGTTAATGCGCGTTGCACTCTTTTTTCCTTACAAGGTTTTTGTCCCACTGGGCTTTTCTTGCAAGTTTTTAACGAGGCAACCAAAAGGCGTATTTCTAAACATGTGTACTCTTTTTCCTTCTCTAGAATTTTCCCACTATTTTAGTTAAGGTTTTAATGAGGCACATTATCTGTTGAATAGACATTCAAGGGAGAGTGTTATAAATAGAATTCTATTTAAGGTGAATGTCTATATTTTAGAGAGATTTTAGGGTTTGTTACTTGGTGGCTAAGTCACTTTTTTCCTAAAAATAGAAGGATTCTATTCTTTGTTACTTGGTGGCTAAGTCACTTTTTTCCTAAAAATAGAAGGATTCTATTCCATTGTAATTGACCACAAATCAATAAGAATTCTCTCTCTACTTTTCTGTGTGATACTTTTCTTCTTCTTTTATTATTTTATAACACTTTCTTTATATGCAATATGATAGCTTTATTTGTTAGATAGACGTTCTTTAAATGCTTATTGTTTTTATATGAATTCCAGTTTTCAAATGATTTATACTCTCTATCTCATCTCTTGATTTTTAGAGAAATAGCTAAAAAGTTGCATAGGCTTCTCCCCACCCACCAATTAAATCAGTGGTGCCATAGAAGTCACAATTTTTGCATACTGAAATTCATTCACCTATGGTAGAATGAGTGTTGCTATGTCATGATTATGTAACTTGCATTGCTTGCTGGCAGATTGCATAATGTGTGTGAAAATGAACGCAGAAATGATATATTCAGTTTTGATTAAGGATTTGTAATCCTGGAAACTGTTTTTGTAATCCTGATTTACTTGAGGATTCTGGGGATAATGGGTGCTGTACTGCTCTAGGAGCATTACCTTTTCCACGGGGGCTATACTGCTTAAAGACTGGTAAATTTCAGCATTTGCAAATTGCTAACTCACTTATGCTATTATATTTATGTAGGCGAAGGGAGATAAGGACATACGGTGATGTGAAGTCTGTGCATCAAGGTTTAGCTTCATGGTAACAGCTTGTGGAAATGTTGGATAGGATTAGCAGCTTTGTGGTGATATACTATTTAATTGCGACAAAATTACATATAATGCACTCCATAAGTTGACCTTGCATTATTTTAGCCCACTTACAAGTTTGCAAATGTGTAGCCAAATATCAATAAGCTTAGATCTGGATTTTTTTTAGCCCACTTAGAGATGCCTTTCGGTAAAACTTTTCAGAACTCCAAAGCATCCTGCACGATACAATCTGGGTGTGTGGGGAGGAAAAGGGCGGATTCATCAAACCCTTCCATACACAGGTCAAAAACATTTAATGGAGGTTATGAACATCCTGATAGCTTTCTCAGCTTACCTTCTTCACCTATTGAAATCTCCATTCTTAGCTAAGATATAAAGGTCATTGCCTCATCCTTAATATGTCTTTTATTTATCCAAGGCAAAAAAAATTCAACACTGTCTTCCTTCACTACTAGAAATACGATCCAAACTTAAAAGGGATACCCTGTCCAAATAAGGTCGTCCAACTTATACTAAGACCTGCATTAATCCAATAGCATTGCATTAAAGTCTAGATGCTCATCCATATGGAAGTAATATGTTCATTCAGTGTCAAAGCACTCCTGCATAGAATAGCAATAATTATTGCAGAGAGCGGTTTCTCGCATTAGATTTTAACCTATAAGATAAAAGGACATTACACATTATGGTCAGAAGTTAGAAAACAGCTCAAACAACAAAAATGAATCAAGACAACTACATCAAATACAATTGAGAAAATCCACAGTACTGATCTGCATTCTGCAACAACTACATCAAGTATACTTTGCAAAGAGAAACAGATTCACTTATACAAGGCTGATACATTATTTACAGGATCCAAATATCAAAAATTGCAAGTGAAAATCGTACAAAAAATTCGTCAGAAATGCTTATACACTTTTATACAAAGAGGTATATTATACATATAGTTGTATAAAAGTCTATAAAAATGAAGAGGAGGAGGAGGAGGAGGAGGAGGATAAGAAATGTATCAGCCTTGTATAAAATAATGAATAATAGATGTTTATACACTATTATATGTTATTTATACAATATTATACACTATTATACAAATGAATCATATTAATGGAGCTTCACTGGTTCTTCTTCTTCTTTGGGCATCTTCTGAAATTCAACTCAAATCTACCTCAAATCTGCTCCAAATCACTTCAAATTTGAGTTTTGAACTCCCCTTGACGATCCCAATCAATTGGGCCAACACCCAATCCAAACAACTAACAAAATCGAGAAATCCAATTTTGAAATTGAAGCTTCGAATGACCTTTAATGGTGACTCCAAAATAGTAATTCTCTTAAGTAGTATTTTTTCTTCTCATCTTAATAGTGATTATCAACTTTGAATATGGAAGGAGAATTGAAGAATATATATAATGGTAGAGAAACTTTGGGGTGCAAAGTCGTGAAAGAGGAAGAAGAAGAAGAACGAAGAAAAGAAAAAAATAGGGCGGGCTAACTGGTGAAATTTTTTTCAGATTATATACAACCTGGGCTATATCAGGTAAGAGCTTCAAATGTGGGCCATTTTTTGATTGACTATTGGGCCAAGTGATAAGGAGCGTAATTTCCCCTTTTATTGCCCTTCTTATAGCCTGTTTGGCCTAGCTTCTTCCTAGTCCAAAAGTGCTAGGAAGAACACTTTTTTGGGAAGCCTGTTTGGCCAAGTTTTTTTTTTTTTCAAAAAAAATACTTTTTTTCTAAACTTGAGGTGTTTGGCCAAGTTTTTTTTTTTTTAGGAAAAAAGCACTTTTGGGAAGAAGCAGAAGCACTTTTTGTGAAACAGAAAAAAGTAGTTTTTCCCCCAGAAGTAGAAGCAGTTTTGACTTTTCTTTTTACTGAAAATCCCCTTAGCAAAATGTAGTATATTCCAGAATAACCTTATTCTAAACCTAGTACTTGGGATATTAATCTATAAATACTTTTCTTATTTTTAGATAGCTTTCTAATATATAGTGACTTCTGCGTGAATGTTTTTATATTTGTTGAATATTTATATTTAAGTCATCTTGAAAGAATTGAAGTACTTTTTAATTTTATTTTCATATTTTATTTAAATAAAATAAAAAACTTAATTATTATCTTTAGTAATAAAATTTTGATATTTTTTATTTACTCACATAATATTAACTATTAAGTAAATCTCTTCATGTCCTAATTCTTAATTTTATACTTAAAAATACTTTTTGAAAAGTTTGGCCAAACACAAATTATTACTCAAAAGTGCTTTTCTGATTGATTAGCCAAACACAAACTTTCTCTTCACAAGTACTTTTTCGAAAAACATTTTTTGAAAAATCACTTCTCAAAATATTTTTCTAGCTTGGCCAAATTAAGTTTTTGGCCATGTTATAGTTATGTCTTAAGATGTTATAATTACCTAAAGATTTGGTCGTTTGTCACGGCCCAAAATCTAATCATGGTCGTGATGGCGCCCATTGTGTTACAAGGCAAACCCATTTCCCAAAACTACTAATTAATTTTAAGGATTTAATAAAACAATACCAACATTCAAATTTCTCATAATCTAAATCAACTCTAAATATAATTAATATAAAAATACGGAAGCTAGCCCCAAACATCGGGGTGTCATTAAGTCAAGAGCGTCTAAAACTATGAACTGAGATATATAAACAGTCCAAAGAAGAAATGATAAAAGGAGTAACAAGGTCCTGCGGACGTTGGCAGCTACCTTGCAGTCTCCAATTAAAACTGGTCTGAACTCAACGATCGCCGCGCTCTAACTCACCTGGATCTGCACATAAAGTGCAGGGTGTAGTATGAGTACAACCGACTCACTAGTAACGGAATTAACTAAGGAACCGAGCAATAGTGATGAGCTAAGCAAGTCCAATTATTTATTTTCACAATTTAAAAATAAACAGAAATAAACAGGTAAATTTCATAACTCAGTAAATGCCACAAAGAAATTTAACAAATAAATGCAGCAATAGCAAAAGTAAATGCAACCTCACAGTAATGTCACTCCATCACTCAGCACTCGTACTCAACACTCAACACTCAATACACTCACCACTCCGCGCTTACTAGGGTGTGTACAGACTCCGGAGGGGCTCCCAAAGCCCAAGCTCTAAGCACCGACAACTCACGTGCCACCATATTAATACCTCTGTATCCGCACGGTCAACTCATGTGCTACGCGGACAACTCATGCGCTATGGTATGAATACCTGGACCTACACGGTCAACTCATGTGCTACGCGGACAACTCATGTGCTATGGTATAAATACCTGGACCCACACGGTCAACTCACGTGCTTCGCGGACAACTCACGCGCTATGGTATTAATATCCTCTCAACCAGGCTATCATATCAATACCTGGATCCGCATGGTCAACTCACGTGCTACGCGGACAGCTCACGCGCTATGGTATCAATACCTGGACCCGCACGGTCAACTCACGTGCTACGCGGACAACTCATGCGCTATGGTATTAATATCCACACAATCAGGCTATCGGTCTCACTCAATCATGTACCTCACTAGCCTCACCATCATCAACAAATAAGGGGACACAACCCACATCAAGTATCACATTATATTAGCAAATAATAGAGACGGAGGTAAACATGTATAATAATTTCTATGACCGAGTATAATTAATGTGAGCATGAATAAAGCCTAAGCATGATCCCTAACATGAAGGCAGACAAGTTCAACAACAAGTAAATGCATGAACACAAATAATGGCCATTAGGCCTCACAGCCTCACAGGACGGACCAAGTCTCAATCCCTCGAGGCGTACACCCACACGCCGGTCACCTAGCGTAGGTATCACCACCAAACAATCATATGATGTCAATATCTCTGGGTTTATACCCTCAAAACCAGAGTTAAAGCTGTTACTTACCTTAACAGCGTAAAATTCTACTCGGGGATGCCCTCGTCTCTGGACTCAGTCTCCAAAAGCTCTGAATCTAACCATCGCCATGTGCTAAAGAATTGAGTTCCAATATAAAAACTACAAAAATGCCAACAATCCGAAATCGGCCAAAACCCGGCCCCCGAGCACGTGTCTCGAATTCAGTCAAAAATGGCAGAATCAAAATCCTTGTCCTCTCCTGAGTCTAACCATATAAAATTTATCAAAATCGGACTCCGTTTGATCCCTCAAATCCCTACCTAAAACTCTCCAAAACTCAAGCCCTAACCCCTTATTTCACTTTGAAATCATCAATCAAATCCCAATAACGAAGATGGATTCATGAAGTATAACCAAAACCGAGTAAAGAGCACTTACCCCAATCCCTATGGTGAAAATCGCCTCCAAAATCGCCCAAATCCGAGCTCCCCAACTCAAAATATGACCGAATGAACAAAACTTAGTTATATATATTTTCTGCAGCTATTCTGCCTCTTTTCTCATGCCAAACAATCCCGAAACTAGTATTTTATGGATTCCTTGTGAAATTTTAGTTAAGTTAGGCTTTTGAATCACTCAATTTGACCTTTTAATGAATGAGATATGTAGGTTTTGATATTTGCAAATAGTGCAGATTTTTAAATACGCAATCAGTGGCAATTTTGTAATTAATCTGAAAAATCTGGCAGCCTCATTCTTAGTAAAATGACCATAAAATCCTCATACGATGTCCAAATTCGATGATTCTTTCTGCTACGGGTCCGAATTACGATACGGATCTAATGCTTCAATCAAAAAAAAAAAATCGGAGCTCATTTGTTCGACATGATATCATTTATGCTTGAAGAAACGACGTCGAAACATAAGAAAAACGAGCGCAACACAACCCAAACCTATCCGAAACTCACCCGAGGCCCTCGGGACCTCGACCAATAATTCCAACAAGTCATATATCACTACCCGTACTTAGTCGAACTTTCGGAACACCCACAACAACACCAAACCAAATCAACCTCGAATTCAAGCCTAAGAACTTCTAAACTTTCAAATTCGCCAACGACGCCGAAACCTATCAACCACGTCCGAATGACCTCAAATTTTGCACACACGTCACAAATGACACTATGAACCTACTCCAACTTCCGGAATTCCATTCCGACCCCGATACCTAATTTTCCACGGTCGACCATTTCTAACTTT